TCCTTCCCCGCCCATCTCTGTCCCCAGTCCTGTGGGGTCTCTCCCTCCCTCTCCTCCATCTAACTTGGCCCTGCTCTGCCCCCTCCTCCTGCGACTTCTTGTCTGCAGCCTCCCCCTTTCTCCTCTGGGGTCGGGGCACCCCAAAGGCTGTGTGGGAGGGGCTGTGCCGGCCAAGCAGAGCCTCCGAGGAGAGCTGGGGAGAAGGAGGGAGAGACGTGGAGCCTGTCCCATGGGAGAGGTCATGGGCTCCCCTGCTGCCCCCACCCAGCAGCTTTTTTTTTTTTTATTGCTTAAAGTATTACAAAGGTCTCCTTTTTTTTTTCCCCCCTTGACATTTCCCAGGCCTCCCCTACCCCCCAGTGTCTTGTGTCCATTGGTTATGCTTATATGTATGCATACAAGTCCTTGGGTTGATCTCTTACCCCCCGTCCCCCGTCCCCCAACACTCCCCAGCCTTCCCGCTGTAGTTTGACAGTCTGTTCGATGCTGCTCTGCCTCTGTATCTATTTTTGTTCATCAGTTTATAATGGTCTTTATTATCCATAAATGAGTAGGATCATGTGGTATTTTTCTTTCATTGACTGGCTTATTTCACTTAGCATAATGCTCTCTGCCGGGAGCCGGTCCACCCTTGCTGCTTGACACAGTCGCTGCAGGGAAGAAACATCTGCACAGCTTATGTTTCAAGGGACCCGGCGTATATGGCATATGTTTGCTCCCCTTCTTAGCGCTATGTGTTTTAAACAGGACCAACTCCCCGAGAAAGGTTGTTTCCCCAGGTGGGGATTTTTCCCTGGAGTTGGGGATTAACAGGACTAAGGAAGGGAATAAATCAGTAAAACCCCTTAACTAAGTGCCAGGTGGGTAGTTAATCACTTTAACTACCAACAATCATGCTTAAGCTACATAATCTGGTATAAATACAGATGTAACGGGAGAATAAAGACAGAACCTGGCTGGAGAACCTGACTAGAGAAATGATAGTTTGTGGCAATGTTTGGGTGATTTCGGATTGTTTTTGTCTCCCAGAGAGAAGGTTGGAGTTGCTCCAATGTAGGGGATTGATAAATTGTTTGGGGAGGCTCTGCTTTAGATAGATAGGGGATTTTGGGAACTCAGATGCCTTCAGCTCAAAACTATTCTTTTGTCAAAGTGGTATATTTTGGGGTGGTACATCTTGATCTCAACAACAGTTTTGTAAATCTATCATATGAACTAGTATTTGCTCTTTGCTTTTTTCAGAGCACGAATAAACTTCTGCCATTAGCTAGTCATACTTCATTCTTTAAGAACTAGATTTAAATTACAGTTCATTGAAGACATTGCAGAAATGTGTAGGTAATGTTGATGTCTCAGGGATAGTGTTCAGTACACAGTTTCTCACTTAACCATCATTTTGGATGAGACCCTATTTAAAATGATAAGCTTTAAATTATTGGTTAATTTAAGTTCTCTGGAGTTTCATGTGAATTGTCATTTGGTACAAGTTATAAAAGTAAATTTTCATTCCTATTGAGTTATTAGGATTATAATCTTAAGAGTTTCAACAACAAAAAGTTGTTGGAAAAGTAACATTCCATCACAAAGCAGTTTAGTATTTAGCTTCATGTCAAAATCCTATATAATAAAAGGTTAATATGCAAATAGACCAAATGGCGGAACAACCAAGCAACCGGTCCCTATGACGTGCGTGTATGGAACATGGCGGGTGTTGGCCGTGGTGGGATGGTGGAGCAGGTGAGTGGGGGCGCCAGACCAAGGCTGGGCGCTGGTTGCTGGTTGCTGTCATTGGGGCGAGCCTCTGGTGGTTACTGAAAATTCTTTGTACTCATGCACTATAGTCCCGCCCAGTGCTCGCACTTGCTGCTGGTGGTGGCCCTGATCGCCCCTGAGGGCTTATCCCTCCCCCCCCCCAACCCCGCTCTGAGGGGCGATCCTGGTGCACCCGCTGACGGCACCAGTCCTGTTTGCACCCGCTGCTGGTGCTAGCCCCAATTGCTCTGCGCTGTCAGCAGACGGGACCGGGGGTCGTGGCGGGAGGGGCCAGGCAGGGGCATGGAGGGTGGGCCGAGACCCTCCCCTGTGCCTACTGCAGCCTCTCAGTCCACAGTTCCTTTCAAGGTGCATGAATTCATGCACTGGGCCCCTAATAGATAATAAAAATCCTTCATACAGTCTAAAACACTTTAGATTTCATTTTTATTTCAGAAGACTTTAAAAAGTAACAAGATGTAGTAGAATTAGAATGTCTGAATTTTTATATAGTTCACTAGAAGCCCAGTGCACGAAGTTCTGGCACGGGTAGGGTCCCTAGGCCTGGCCGGCGATCAGGGCCGATCGGCTGCCGGCTGGTGGCTGGTGGCTGGGGCCTTCCTTCTTTCCGCGCTGCCCCCTGGTGGTCAGCACACGTCATAGCAAGTGATCAACTCCTGAGGGGACAATTTGCATATTAGGCTTTTCTATATATAGATTTTGACTAGGTATGCTCTTAAAAAAATCTCACATTTGTTTCATAAGTGTTTTCTTGGAATTATGTCAGGTTTTTCTAATTTTATCAATGATTTCCTATCCCTGGCTCTCATGAGCATTTAGCATTTAAACATTTTTATTACTATAGTGAGTTAACTAGTTATGTCTGTTTTTTTGTATTTGGCTACTCTTTAACCTATCTTTTTTTTTTCTTCTAAATATGTTTTATTGATTTTTTTACAGAGAGGGAGGGAGAGGGATAGAGTTAGAAATATGGATGAGAAAGAAACATCCATCAGCTGCCTCCTGCATACCCCCTACTGGGGATGTGCCTGCAACCAAGGTACATGCCCTTGACCAGAATCAAACCTGGGACCCTTCAGTCTGCAGGCTGATGCTCTATCCACTGAGCCAAACTGGTTAGGGCTTAATCTATCTTTTAATAGACCAGCACAGTTTGGGATAGTAGATGTAGAATATTTCTGTAATACTCTGAGAATTTTTTAAGAAGTAGGATAGGAAATTGATATAACTTTAAAAAATGATGGGCATAGCACTTAATATTTGACAGAAGACTTGTTTTTTCTTACGTTTTTATTGATTTTATTTTATTTTTTTAAATTGTTTTATTGCTTAAAGTATTACAAAGAGTATTACATATGTCTCCTTTTTTTCCCCGCCCTTGACAATCCCCTGGCCTCCCCTACCCCCCAGTGTCTTATATCCATTGGTTATGCTTATATGCATGCATACAAGTCCTTCGGTTGATCTCTTACCCTCCCCTCCTGCCCCCCAACCCTCCCCGGCCTTCCCGCTGTAGTTTGACAGATTTTAGAGAGAGATGGATAGAGAGATAGAAACATCAATTGGCTGCCTCCTGTACACCCCCCACTGGTGATTAAGCCTGAAACCTGGGCATTTGCCCTGACTGGGAATCGAACCTGTGACCTCTTGGGGTTCATGGATCGAGGCTTAACCACTGAGCCACACTGGCCGGGTGACTTGAAAAAGGAAGATTAACAGTAGTATTGATCATTTCATTTTTAAAATTTTTCATTGTTGAGATTATTTGTGAATATAAAACATTTGTTATTAAACTTTGGCATCTTGATGTTCAGAAAATCTGATTTCTTTATTGAAAAGAGTCTAGTTGTCTACTTGGCTTCTGCCTTATTTAAGAAAACTGAATTTACTGTGTTTAGATTGTACTGGAAACTTGAAAGTTTTATTGATGCAATTGAGAGAGGCTCCCAAAAACTTTAATTTAGAACTCAGAGGAGAAGAAGTTGCTAAAATGTTTAAGATACTTACTGTGATGATTATAATAAAAATAACCTTTTCATTATGAAAAATTTCAACTATGCATGTAAGTAGAGAAGAGGATTTATACCACTCCTTAGTACCAACATTTATAAACATGGACAACCTTATTTCAACTATAAACCTATTCATTAATTCTTGGCTTATTTTAAAGCAATCCCAGTTATATCAATTTTTAATTGTAAAGACATCTATACATATCTTTTTTTATACCATCATTCCACTAACCATTATGACATCTAAAATGAGTGATAATTTTTATTTTTTAAAATATATTTTATTGATTTTTTACAGAGAGGGATAGAGAGTTAGAAACATTGATGGGAAAGAAATATCGATCAGCTGCCTCCTGCACACCTCCTATTGGGGATGTGCCCGCAACCAAGGTACATGCCCTTGACCGGAATCGAACCTGGGACCTTCTAGTCTGCAGGCCGACGCTCTATCCACTGAGCCAAACCAGTTAGGGCATGAGTGATAATTTTAAAAATGTTATTTAATATTCAGTTCATGTTCAAGTGTTTTATTTCATAATTTTTATTTTTTTTAAGGGTTGGTTGGTTTGAGTAAGGATCTATGTATAAGGTCCACACATTGTATTTAATTGATCTGCCTATTCAAAACCATTTATCTGTTGAAGATCATTTGACCTGTAGAATATCCTGTGATCTGGATTTGTTGGATTACTTCCGTCAGATGTCGGAAGATTAACTTGGTTGAATTTCCTGCAGATTGGTAGTTAGGTTAGATTTCTTATTCCCTGCTGGGGTGGGGCAAGAGTAATCATAGATGGTGTTATGTGCGTCCTATTGTGTGATATCAGGAGACACTGAATGTCTAGTCTGTGTGATAAGGCCATTTTTATTTTTAAAAAATAAGCTTTATTGAGATGTACTTTTTACAATAAAATTAGCTAGGTTTAAGTGTACAATTTGATGAGTTCTGACAAATGTACATTTATATAACCATCGCCACAATCCTAGATAATACCCTGTTACCTCAGAAATTCCCTCCTTCCCTATGCACTCATTCCCCTCCCCAAGGCCCTCCACCCACCCTGTTGGTGTAGCTTCTATCACTTGCCTTTTCTGGAATCTCATAATAAGTGGAACCTTGAAGCATAAGATCATTGTAACTTAAAGGAACACAGAATAAGAAGGTCATTTTGGCCAGGAGCTGCAGGTCTAATTCCTTCCATTTTTATGTGACAGGGACTTGCCATGAGGTGTTGAAGCCTTGTTTCATTGAGTCGGAGAGACTGGACCTAAATGGCGCAGCATGACTTTGCTCCAGCCTGGCTTAATTTTCCCACTCCACCATCATCAACAAAGGTACTCTTTCTTGCATCTTTCTCTCTTCTTTTTGTCTTTCTGTCTGTCTCTCTGGTCACATTCTACACAAGTGTAGTTAAAACGTGAAGGCCTAATATTTTTGCAGAGAAATACTTTTTGTATTAACATTTAAGTTAGTTTTTATTTAATCTATTGGTTTTTATTATTTAAAAAATCAGTTTTCAGTATACCATCTTCATATGAAACCATTTACTTCAAAGTTGTCTTTTGTACTAATAAAAGTTTCATACACTATTTCAAATCTGTTAGTATATTGAATATTACTTTTGCATCCTACCTTTTTCTATATTATTTTTCTGATAAATTGCCTTATTTACTTTGAGATAGATAATGTTCGTTGTTTTCTTTTTAAGTGAAGGTTTTTGAAGTCTTTCCATATAACTGGAAGACTTCTTTTTTATATAATCAGTGAGACTTTGAATGGCACATTACTAAAATTTCAGGAGTGTTGAGGAGTTTGCAATATTGTTACAATATCAGGACTCACTAATCTAAGAATTGTTCATTTTACTAAACTACCAAAACAGCATAGTTTGTATGAGGGACTTTGGAATTGTTAGAGGCAATCTACTTGGCTTAATAGCTGTCATCCACTTCTTTCCTTAATTTGAAGAAATCAAGAGAGGGTCTTGATCATCTGCTGCCTATTAATAAAGCTCTACCAGGTTTTATGAACGGTATTTAAAACAGCTCTTATGGGAACAATTTTATAATTTGGAAAGTTGTTCCCTTATGAGGACTTGTTAGAGCATAATAAATTTGGCTATGATATGTTGAAAAAGCTGCACTGGAGTGACAGAATTCCTAGGCAATAGAATTTTAATGTTTGAAGTTGGATCTTAGTAATCATACCTTTTTTATGCAGGTTGATTCACTGGAAGGCTCATTGACTTGCCTTTTGTCATGAGTGAGTGTGAGCCAGGATGCTTTTCCTGTTCTCTTTCCATAGGACTCACCTTTGGCATTCCGTAAATTGATGAGACGTTCCATTTCCTGTCCTGTAAAGTGGGATTTGAACTTGGCTGGGAATGGAGACTTCTACTGATTAAGCCACTGGGATCACCTCTTAGTTCAGACTCTCTGTTTACTCCTTTTCTCTCTGATGTGTCGGTTTCTGGAATTGCTGCTTAATTTTTCCCCTCAGCTGCTCTCATCTGTCCCTTTAGTGGGCTCATTTCCTTCCAGGCTCACTTCAGAGCTGGGATACATAGGAATTTTCTGCTTCCTTTTTCTCTGTTGTGCATGTTCTCTGAAATGAGCATAAGACTTGTTTTTATTTGTAAGCAGATCAAGAAAATTACAAGCATCTGAAAAGTTAGTTGCAGAACATGAAAACGTTTGAGAATAATTCTTCATTCAAATGTTAATCTGTGGTTGACAGAGACTGACTTTTATGTCTGGTGAAACCCTGCATTCTGGAACCTGACTCTTGATCTGGATGTAGGCCCTCATAACCTGTGATGATGACTTTGAGAATTGGGATCGCCTATTCTAAATGTTCACTCACTTATTCTAAATTGCCTCCAGAAAATGGTATCAATTAGAACTCTTAACCAGCAGTATTTGAAACTATCTCCTTATACTTTACCCAAAGTAGTTTTGATAAACACAAACACACACCTTCCAGTAATAACTTTTTATATGAATTCTTATTACTTTCTGTCTTTTACTTTCATCTCAAAATCTCTATTTATGGACTCACATTTATAATTAACCTGTTTTCTACAGAGCCCTTTTAAATCTTATGCTGTATAAGTGGAATAAATAATAATTACTGCTGGGTTCTCTGTTTCAACTTAATGGAATTCTTTCATATATTTGTTTGAAGGGATGATACAAGGACTTAAGGGTAAAAATATTTTCAGAACTTTAGTAGTTTTCTGAGGTTTGTAGAATTTTAGCGCCATCATGTGGTGAGATTTTAAACTGCATTGATAATATCTGGCATAGGGCATTGCTTTTTGAAGTGTTTATTGGAACCCAGTCAGAAGTAAATTTCACAGAATGTTTTTGTATACATGTAGGTATTACTAAAAAGCATACACCTGTGCTGCACTAATATTTCCTGTTGTCTTTTTAAAAAATACATGTTTTTATTTTTATTTTTTAAGAGAGAAAGAAACAGATGAGAGAAACATCATTGATCGGATTGCCTCCAGCATGCCCTCCTCCACTAGGGATAGAACCCACAACCCAGGCATGTGCCCCGACTGGGAATCAAACCGGTGACCTCTTGGTTCATAGGTCAAGGCTCAATCACTGGGCCACACTGGCTGGGCTATTAGGGTCTTTTGTTCTTTTTCCATTAAATGCAAACTGGCACAGATTTCATCACCTTTTAATAGGTTCTGACCTGCAATTTGGGAAAAGTAACATTTTTATTATTAGAGGAATGCCAAACTGAAATGGTTGTAGATAACTAAAAATTTAGGTTCCTTTTTAGATAAGCCTTGTTATTGATACTTCTTTCCCTTCATCTTACCTTAGGAAATACAATGAAGTGATTGGTCCTTAGGCTGAAGCATCCTTTTACCAGTTAACCGCCACAATATTTTGAATTTAATTTTAAAAGGTCTGCCGCTTGTGTCTATAGATGCTTATGGCGTATAAATGATTCAGTGCAGTAATTGTTTGAAAAAAGAAAATGCCAGGGGTGCGGTATTAAGAGTAGATGGGTGGTAGGAAAGTGAATAGGGAATTTTTTTTCTTTTTAAACAAAATAACATGTTATGAGAGTCTGCTATAGTCAATACATTTTCATATTCGTATTCAATATTCTGTAGTTATTTATATGGCTAGAGCATAGCAATAGTGCTTTATTGATTCTGTCATGGTAACATTTAAAAAACAGTGATTAATTCTGTACTTGTCAGTGGTGTTAGCAATATGAGCCTGCATGAAAAATATGTGCTATTTAAACTTTAGGCCAACAGAGGATCAGAAAATCCAGTCAGACTGGTAGCTGAGTTTATTCAAAGTATCAGAGTTTGTATAGTATTCAAACTTCCTGTTTACTATGTACAGTTTTTTGTAACTGACTCAGATATTCTAAGGAATCCAGAAAAAGAATGAAAATGTGCAAGAGAGAGAGAGACGGTCTCTTCCTTGTTCATTGTATCATCTAATGTTTCTTGAGGCGTTACTACATACCAATCACTGTGTAAAATACTTTCTATGACAAAAATCGTAAGCGGTAGATACTCCGGTTTTTCCCTCATTTACAGAGGAGAGCACAGGTTGAGAGAGATGAGTAACCTGTTCCAAAGTTCTTGAGCTAAGACAGGAATCCATGTGTATCTGACTTTAAATGTTATCAGTTTAATAACTTTCTTTTCTTGATTATTAGGTAGTAGACTAATTTTTAGAAATGAAATACCAGGATGCTTTTATTTAAAAAAAATATATTTTATTGATTTTTTACAGAGAGGAAGGGAGAGGGATAGAGAGTTAGAAACATCGATGAGAGAGAAGCATCGACCAGCTGCCTCCTGCACACCCCCCACTGGGGATGTGCCCGCAACCAAGGTACATGCCCTTGACTGGAATCGAACCTGGGACCTTTCAGTCCGCAGGCCGACGCTCTATCCACTGAGCCAAACCAGTTAGGGCCCAGGATGCTTTTATTCACGCACCAGAATATATTTTTATCCTGGTTTTAGTAAACAAATAAGATTGCTTTTTTTCTTCCCCCTCAAGGATGGCATCTCCAATATCTTTCTATAGTCAGTACACGGGGACCTAACTCTTCAGTGGATATAATCTTGTATTGAGTGGATCTGCATGGATTATTTAATGAGTACCTATTAATGGACTAAATTGCAGGAATATATTTGTAGAGTAAATTCCTAGCAGTAGAGTCACTGAATCAGAATGTGTTTATATTTGGTAGATAGTGCCTAATTACTCTGGGAAAATTGCACCAATTTATAATCCCATCAAAATATTACAAGGGGGCTGATTTCTTTTTTTTTTTTTTAATTTTGGTGATGCTGGATGTTTTCACATTTTTAAGTCTTTGTGAAATTGGGTGAAAAATGGTACTTTATTGAGCATATTTTTGTGTTAGGAAAAATTTCTTTTTTTTAAAAAAATATATTTTACTGATTTTTCACAGAGAGGAAAGGAGAGGGACAGAGAGTCAGAAACATCGATGAGAGAGAAACATCGATAGCTGCCTCCTGCAAACCTCCTACTGGGGATGTGCCCGCAACCAAGGTACATGCCCTTGGCCGGAATCGAACCTTGGGACCTTTCAGTCCGCAGGCCGACGCTCTATCCACTGAGCCAAACCGGTTAGGGCTAGGAAAAATTTCTAAGAACTTTGTTAATGCAGTCCATTTCTTAATGATTTGTAATAGCTTTTCATATTGTGGGATTTGCTTGCCATTAATATGGCACATATTTTTCTACAATTTGTCTTGGTAATTCTTTAAAAATGTAGAAGGTTTTAGTGAAATATTTAAATGTATGGAGAAGTGTAGAGAGAATTGAGTGAGCACTTAAACACCCACAATACTCATATCTTAATATTTTGCCATATTAGCTTGATCTTTTGGAAATAAAACATTGTGTATAGTTGAAGTCCAGCTTACTTCTTTATAACACTTGTTTTAAAAGTCTTCATTTTCTCCCCCACAGGTAGTCTCAATGCATGTTCTTTAATCACTATTCGCTATGTGAATGTTAATAAATAGTATTGTTTTGCATGTTTCATGTTTTTATATAAATGATTCATTTATATGTCTGCATCTTGCTTTTACATTAATCCTGCCTTTGAGGTTTTTTTCCATGTTGATACCTGCAGATTTAGTGTAATTATAGAAAACTCTGTCTAGTGTTCTGCCTTGTGCCTCTGCCACCTTTCATCTGTCCATTCAGTTCAGGTGGTTTCTACCTTTTGGCTCCTAGAGAGAGCCCTGCATTGAGTGTTCTTGTAATGTTTCCTTGTACGTGGGTAAGAATGGTCTAGGCCAGTGCTCCTTAAGCTCTAGTGTGATAAGATGACCCTGGGGTTTTCTTAAATGCAGGTTCTGATTAGAGTAGGTTTCAGGGTAGGACCCTAGTTCTAAACTCTTTAGAGTGATGTTGATTTTGCTTGTCCGTGGACCAAACTTCTATTAACAAGGCTCTGACCTGTAGTTAAAAGAAAAATTGCTGAGACTTGATTAGATATTGCCAAATTCTCTCCCATGTGGTGTACTGAGTTATACTGCTGTATGCTGCATATAACCATTTACATTATACTCCTGCCAAAATTTTGTCACAGTATCAGAGTGAACATTTTTGCCAGTCTTGGCTATAAAATGCATTTTCATTGTTCTTTGACATTAGATTACATTTCTGTGAATTGCTTATTCACAGTCCTTTTTTTTTTTTTTAATCTTCATTCGAGGATACCTTTCCATTGATTTTTAGATAGAGTGGAAGGGAGAGGGAGAGACGGAGAGAGAAATGTTGATTGTGAGAGACACATCCATTGGTTGCCTCCCACACACACCCTGAGCAGGGCCAGGGATTGAGCCTACAACCCAGGTATGTGTTCTTGATTGGAATAGAACTGGGACTCTTTAGTCCGTGGGCCGACACTGTCCACTGAGCCAAACTCACTAGGGCTGTTCACATTCTTTATTATTTCTTTTGGGTTGCTTTGTTTTCATATTGGTTTAAGAAATATACACATATATATATTTGTATGCGTGTATATATATGTCATTTTAAATGTCTTATAGTTTTACATAGTTTTTTTTTAGTCTTACATGTATTTGGCTAGATGTATGCAAGTGCATTATAGTACTTGTTGCTATTTTATTTATTTTTAAAATAGGTTTTTATTGATTTTAGAGAGGAAGGGAGGGGGGAGAGAGAGAGAGAGAGAGAGAGAGAGAGAGAGAAACATTGATCGGTTGCCTCCCACAAGACTGAACCCGCATCCAGGATGCCCGCAGAAGACAGGAGATAGTCAAGGACTTTGTCTTTCAGGGCATAGCAGACAGCACGAGGCCTGAGGTGGCAGGGCAGCTGGCACCAGGAAGTCCCATGGGGCCATGTGAGAGAGAGGGACCACGTTGGGGATAGGTAGTGGATTACCATTGCAACTGAGGAGCTCCCCTCCCTGTCCTGGAGGAAATCGTCACATAAAACAACCCAGAGAAATGGTCAGATCATTCAAAACAGTTCCAAGTTTTAACGGAGATTAATCAGTTGGTAGTGGGAAAAACCAGCAACTTTTATAAATAGTTGTTTTATACACTTCTAATTTTTTAAAATCATTTTTATATATTCTTTTGATAATTTTTTTGAACATTTGTTTTGGGGAAAGAGGACAGCACTTAAAATAGAACTGTAGCTTTAGTTGCCATAATTGTCAATATTGAAGAAAACCTTGAACTATTTGAATCAAGTACTATATGATACAGAGTATTACATTTTGTTATAAAACCCATATTTTGCCTCGTTCTCTTTATACCATTTTACCTTTCAAATGTTGGGGTGAGTAGAGGTAGTGGCCAAACTCGTTCTGAGTGGGTTCCTGTTTTCACGAGGTAGAAGAAAGGAGACCCACAATGGGTCCATCTTACAAGTTACCAAACATTGAAATAACTACAACATTTTCTAACCGTTTAAAATTCTTGGAAATAAAGCCAGAGAGTATTAGTTTTCAAAGTTCTATTTAGGTTTTATATATATGTTTACCTATATGCTTATAATTTGTTTCAGTCCTCATTGAATTTTGAGAAGCATTCTGAACACTTTTCATGGACAGAAAATCGTTATGATGTGAGTCGTCGGCGACACAACTCTTCAGACGGCTTTGATTCTGGTATTGGACGTCCCAGTGGAGGTAAAATTTGCTAAGGAATGATAGAATTTAAGAAAACTTTTTTTCATAATATTTTAGGAACGTTTTGATTGTCATTCAGACTTTAAGTATAACCATCTTTGAATTTGTACTACTTTACCATTATCTAAAAAGGTAACTTTGGAAGGAAAGAAAAAAATGGCTGGCGTACGCATGGGAGAAATGGCACTGAAAACATAAATCACCGCGGGGGATACCATGGCGGGAGTGCCCGTTCTCGGAGCAGCATTTTCCATTCTGGAAAAGGCCAAGGACTGCACGACAACACCCCTGACAGTGAGCCAGGGAGGAAGGAAGACAGGAGAGAGCGCAAACAGTTTGAGGCTGAGGATTTTGTAAGTGTCTTGTCATTTTAGTGCAAATGTGGTTTTTGCAGGTGCTGTTGTAGCACAAGCTCATTTTCTACTGAGAACACAGGTCCAGTTCACAGCTTTTCTTCCCGCCCTCCTCCTGTCTGTGTCCTACTCACCATGTGGTCTTTAAAAACTTTTGATAAATTTGTCATTTTATTCCTTATAGAAACCTGTTTATTTTAAATATATTTTTATTAGCGTCAGCCTGCGGACTGAAGGGTCCCAGGTTCAATTGTGGTCGGGGGCATGTGCCTTGGTTGCGGGCACATCCCCAGTGGGGTGTGTGCAGGAGGCAGCTGATCGATGTTTCTGACTCTCTATCCCTCTCCCTTCCTCTCTGTAAAAAGTCAATAAAATATATTAAAAAAATATATTTTTATTCATTTCAGACAAGAAAGGAGAGGGAGAGAGAGAAACATCAATGATGAGAGAGAATCATGGATTGGCTTCCTCCTGCACGCTCCCTGCTGGGGATCGAGTCTGCAACCCGGCATGTGCCCTGACTAGGGATGAACCGTGACCTCCTTGTTCATAGGTCGACGCTCAACCACTGAGCCATGCCAGTCAGGCTCCCTATAGAAATTTAAACAATTTCCCTCAGAAATAATGCTGAGTTCTAGTGGCCTGTTTGCAAGTGCATCATAATACTATTTTTAGAAAGCTGTTACATTTTTGGAAAAGACTATTTTACCAGTACATTTTACTTCGATTGCCTCTCTTACACTTGATTACTTATGTATGACTCTTAATGAATCCCAGGATAGCTCTCCTTTCTTTCAGCTACGTTCTCTATTCAGAAGTTTCTTTGTGGTCAGGAAAGGAAAACTAATTGTTAGCCTAGGTCAGTTACTACTAAAAATAAGTATGAACTAATTAAAAACAGAATTTTCTTAATTTTTCCTGTTGGTAAATCTCACCATGTGGCTGGCTTATCTAAACACTATGTTTCAAGTTACATAAAAATTGACCTAGTGTACACTCTTATCTAGTTCTTGTGATTCATTCCGGTAATTTCTTTTTGTGTATATGTTCATTCTTCATTCAGCATTCGAGTGGTTCTGAGTCCTAACTGTTCTTGGTCTTCAGAATACATAGGTGAATAAGATAGGCAAGGTCCTGTTAGTGAGTTTATATTCTTTTTGGGATTTTAGGACCATAAAAAGAAAAAATAATTAGTATTTTGCAGAGAATTTAGACAGGAAGTGATTGGCTACTCTGGTTTAGCAGATCAGAAGAGGTTTCTGCAGGGAAGTGTCTTAAGCTGGGACTTGCAGGAGCGAGCTTTGTTACGACTGGTAGGATGGGGAAGAGCTGGTAGAGTAGTGTTAGGTCCCAGTAGAGAGAGAGGAAGGGGTTTTAATTGAGTAGGACTCTTGCCTGTAACATAAAACATTTTAGTTTAATTACAGATGCACCAGGCAGCCTCTTTGGAGAAGTCCTGTGAGTTGGTTTTAGTTGATTTGAAGACGGTTCCAGTAGTTAGACCTTGAATGGGTCACGCTGAGAGCAGAGACCAGTTAGGAAGTGGCCGGCGGGAGTTGATCAGGAGGAAACAGCTTGACTGGGTGGGAGCTGTGACAGGCGAAGATACATGGTTTGAGATGTAGTTTGATGATGGTTTGGGCGGAGGGTGGAAGTGAAAGAATATGACAGATTGGATTGAGGTCAAGGAAGTGGTGAGGGCAAGAGAAGGACAAGAATTATGCGTAGGTCCTGTGATCTGGTAACCTTGGAATCACTGTGCCTTCCCATTTCTGTAGCCCATTTTATCCACTCGATAGTCACTATGAAATGGAATTTTTATCATCTAAACAAACCAGAAATGATAGTCGTGTGCTCTCATAGTGTTGTGAGGGTTAAATGAGTGATGTAAGTCAATCACCTCATAAACAGTGCCCGACACAGAGCAGGCGCTCAGCACAGCCTGGTTGCTGCTGTTATTATTATACCCCACCCCCACCTCCAAGACGGCCGGCATCAGCCATTACAATCCCAGGCCTGGCATACAGACCGTAATCTGCTCTCATACTAGAGTAGTCCTGGAAAAGCGCATGTAGCTGCCGCCAGTCCTTGAGTTTGTATCAGGGAATCCACTGATTTGCATGCGTGCCCTTTGGAGCTTTTGGTAATGTCAGTAGAGGATTCATTTTTTTCCCCAACACATGTTAAGCACCTTTATGGCATGGCAGGCTGTGTTGCTAGATAATATGGACCATATCTGATATAACTAATGGAAATTTAGGACTTTAGATGGTAAACATATCTACTAAGATTAGCTTTAGAGCACACATTCAGTGCTCAACTCCATTTCTTTTTTTAAAATATGTTTATTTTATTTTTTTAAATATAGTTTATTGGTTTTTTACATAGAGGAAGGGATAAGGATAGAGAGTCAGAAACATCGATGAGAAAGAAACATTGATCAGCTGCCTCCTGCACACTCCCTACTGGGTATGTGCCCGCAACCAAGGTACATGCCCTTGACCGGAATCGAACCCGGGACCCTTGAGTCTGCAGGCCAATGCTCTATCCACTGAGCCAAACCGGTTAGGGCTAAAATATATTTTTAATGATTTTAGAGAGGAAGGGAGAGGGAGAGAGATAGAAACATCAATGATGAGAATCATTGATTGGCTGCCTTTTGCACGCCCCCTACTGGGGATCGAGCCTGCAAGCAGGTCATGTGCCCTTGACTGGAATCGAACCTGGGACCCTTCAGTCCGCAGGGTGATGCTCTATCCACTGAGCCAAACCAGCTAGGGCTCCATTTCTTTTTAATATTATGAGCATCACTTGTTAAAATAAGAATTTGCACTTTGGCCGAACCGGTTTGGCTCAGTGGATGGAGCATCCGCCTGTGGATTGAGGGGTCCCAGGTTCGATTCCGGTCAAGGGCATGTACCTTGGTTGCGGGCACATCCCCACGGGGGGGCGTGCAGGAGGCAGCTAATCGATCTCTCTCATCGATGTTTCTAACTCTCTATCCCTCTCCCTTCTTCTCTGTAAAAAATCAATAAAATATATTAAAAAAAAAAAGAATTTGCACTTTGCTTTGAGAACGAGTTGCTCACTAAAGCATCCAGTAAAAACAAGAATTGGGGACAGTTTGATTTCCTCTTCCCTGCTCTTGACCTTATGCTGAGAAAGGGTCTCTCTCAGATTGATGCAGAGACTAATTCTCTTGTGTTGGTGGTTGTTGTTTTGACACTTTTCTCTGATGCATTTGGGGATGAGGGAAATATTTAAAGACATTTTCCTTGTTTTCTAGTGCTAGGAGGGAGGATAGTAACCATTTTAATAATGAGCAGACTAAATTGAAAGTTAGGGCTATGATTATAATTACTCTGTAATCATTGAGATAATTATGTCAGGTTTTTCAGTATGATTTTGAGGTTACTTTTAAAAGGATTTATTTTTTTAAAATGTGAGAGGTTAAACATTTTTTGTGTTGTTTTCATTCCAACTTTCTTTCAGCCGTCTTTAAATCCTGAATATGAGAGAGAACCAAATCAAAATAAGTCTTTAGCTGCAGGTGTATGGGGTAAGTAATTTTTTATTTATCTTTGAGGGGTATAAAATGTTATTTGTAGGTTTTACTTTTCTGTGTTTTTAAAAATAAATAGGTCAGAATTAAACCTTTTCTTTTAAATATGTTTTGATGTGCTTAGCTACGAAAGGGTGGCACTTAGCTTTTAAAAACAAGATATTGGAGATAAAAGAAGGTTTTGAGTCGAAGTGATTGATTTGCCCATGTTTGTACCATTAAGTATACTCACAAGAATTTTTAAAAAATGGTCATAAGTTAATGTAATGAATGGATGTCATTTTGAGAGTACCCCAATCATCATCTAAAGAAAAGATTAGTTTTAAATTAATTTTTAGTTTTTTAAAGTTGAAAACTTAGTTAACTGGAAAGATACATACTTCTAATCATACCTATGAAAATGGTTACACATAGAGTATTAAATATGTATAAATTTGCCTATGGAACTAGTCTGTGTTTGAAATTATTTGCTTTTTGATTGTCAAAGCTTAATGACAGTTTTTCTGGTAATTCCGTTTTCTTTAAAACTGCTTAGAGTTTAATTTGATAGCATCTTACAAAAGATTTAAACTGCACTTAGTATAAATTAGACAGCATTTTAAAGATTCAAGTGAAGTTTAAAATAATGGAAAAATTGATAATATAAAGATTTGATATCTGAAAAATAAATTATTATTTGATACCAAATTCAAAGGTGGTGTATTCACTTTGGAACTTGTACACGTTCATTTGTATGTTTCTACTGAAAATCAACAACTTATCAAAACAAGGATTGTGGCTATGGCAGCATACTAGTCCTAACAATAAAGGCATTATTTTAAACTTTGCCACTTCCTGTGCTGTTCTTTATTGTATTTATGGGGTGATACTCTGGGGAATTATTTTGTTTCTTTTGATCTCCAGATTGATTTAAGGGTTTTTGAGGGTGGGGGTGGGGGTGGTCAGACACTTTTGTGAGAACCATGTGAATGGCATTGTTTTTTCTGTATTGCAAATTAGTATTTCTACCACTCTCCCCAGGCCTACACGCCCAGACACACACATACCCAACCAAAACAATCTCCCAAGCTCCTCTCTTAGGTATGTTTCCTTATTATTCAGTTTTTCTGGGAACAGCTGATTGCATAAGAATATAGAATCACCTGGAAGGTGTTAAATAGATTCTCTAAGGAATTAGGAATGATTTGGATTTGATTAGAATGAAAGTACATAAAAAGTCAAGAATGTCAGCGAGCATTTGTCATATAAAATTACCTATAGATACTATTGGTATTGATCCTTTGTTAATTTAATAAGTTTAGAAGAAATGATTTAAAAGCAAATACATCTTTGAAAATATTGAGAATACAGTGTGTTAATATAAGGATTTTGGGTCTACTATTTCAGGGTTGGTGTAATAAGGATTTTGAGCACTAGTTGAAAGATGTTTAAAAGGAAGATGTACTCTTTACTGTGTCTTAGGTAAACTGAGAAGTGTGTCTGCATTAGAAAACAATGGTTAATTGTGGCTTGGTTAATTGGTAAATTCCAAGTACTTCCTATAGGAATACAATGAAAGTTTCATTGTATGGCACTTTATTATTCCTTTCTCACTTCCCCCGGGTTCCCAAATACTGTTTGACCCATTGCAACATTTAAAATAGCGATTATGTTCCTGAGGAAGACATGAAAATTTAGGAAAGACTTCAGTTGAACCTTTTCTAGTGCTTCCTTCCAGGTAAGTAAAAATTTAATAATGGAAATGAAATGCCTATTAAAAATAAATCATTTTGTCCCTGAAATTATTTTTTTATAGATCAAATATTGCAAGAGTCTAAACATACATCTCAATTTTAAAAAGACCTTTTGGGAAAGTAATTAAGCCATTTAAAATGTAGTTACATAAGCTTGGTTCTACTTAGAAGCTAATTGGATTTACTGGGAACACCATGCAGCTCGTACCCTTGACCTTAGCCAGGGCCGCTGTTGCTGGTGCACAGGGTTAATGCTCACTAGATCAGTCTTATTTCCATTCCTTAATACTGTGAAACTAAATCGAAGATTCGGGTGTTTTAATGTGCCTGTGGGAATTTTAAAATAATTTAGTTGTGTGATTTTGTTTGGGGGGTGAGAAGAGATAAAATGATAGGTTTATTATGGTTTGTATGCAATTTGAGACATAATTAGAAACTGGTTTTTGTGTTTTCAGGACTCCTACTGGCTATTTTTGTGACCACACAACACGTCAGCAATATATTATTGGCAGAGCCTAACAAACATGCAGTGCTTAAGAAACTGAATCATGAAAACGTGTCATTAGTAATCAACTTAAAACTTAGTCTTGTTTCAACTCAGCATTCGTATTTGTGTCTATTCCTTTATAACTTGATGATGAACTTACCTGATTTTTGCTCATACTTGATATACTGCTTGAGAGCATCAAGGTTCATTTTTAAGAATTTTGTTTAGCTTTTAAAATCAAAGCAAATTGGTGACTAGTTTTTAAAGATGGGACGTTTTCTAGAGAATTCCAATGATAGTAACCACAAGCATACAGACATGATTCCATTAAATAAGTTAGATCATGTTGAAAAGCTCTGTTGGTTTTTTTTTTTAAGGAACTTTGTAAGCAGGATTAAGAGAAGGGAATAATCTGTATCAAATCTCTTTGTAAAAGCATTATATGAGTAAATTATGTATTGAAATGACTTCACTTTCCCCGATGTCCTCCTTATATGGAAACAGTTAAAATTATTCCAAGGTTCAAGGTTGAGAAGAAAAGTAAGGGGGTTTGATTGGACAACGTGCCACAAGTAAATTTTATTTGGTCAGAGTTAGAAGTATCACTTAATTCAACGTGGAAATTGTTTTTATTTTAGAAGTGTATTTCTTTAAGCCTGTCCTTCATATGAGTAACATAGGGGACTTTGTTAAAAGAAAAGTGCCATACCCCGCTATTGACATAAATTATAAGTTAGTTAAACTCATTTGATTAACACTCTCATACTGTTGCAAAACAAGACAGATTTGTTCATTAAATTAAAAAATTCAAACAGCATCAGTCTCTATAAAAATAATCTTAACAGGTTATTTAGTAAAATAGTGTTCACAATACCCTGCCTGGCTCCCTCGGTTGGAGCGTCGTCCCGTACACCATATGGTTGTGGGTTCAGTTCCTGGTCAGAGCAGATATCTAGGTTGCAGGTTCCATGCCCTGCTGGGGCTCATAAGGGTCACAGCCAATTTCAGCGTTTCTCTCTCACATCAATGTTTCTTTCTCCCTCCCCCTCTCTCTAAAAAATAAAAACATATCTTCGGGTGAGGATTTAAAAAAACGTGTTCACAATAGTAATTTCTTTTAATTGCTGTGGTACAGATTCTTTGAGTTTAATATTTGTATATCTTGTCTTATGTGACTCAGTTCTTCCCCAAGTTAGTGTGAAGACTTAATTCAGTTACTGTTTTACCCTTCACTTGGCTGTATGCTGTTGTTCACACATAAAGTTGTTTCTTTTCACCCTAGCCGGTTTGGCTCAGTGGATAGAGTATTGGCCCGTGGACTGGAGGGTCCTGGGTTCGATTCCGGTCAAGGATACGTACCTCGGTTGCAGGCTTCATCCCTGGCCCCACGTGCAGGAGGCAACCAATTGATGTATCTCTTTCACATCAATGGTTTTCTCTGTCTCTCCCGCTCCCTTCCACTCTCCCTAAAAATCAATGGAAAAATGTCCTCAGGGTGAGGATTAACAGAAAAAAAAAAAAGAATAAAGTTGTTTCTTTTCTTGAGTCAAGGTAATGAGGAACTCAATTAAAAGTGGCATCAGTGTGATGGTGAAGGCAGGGGTGGGCCCTCATGTCACTGGGGCAGTGCCGACTTCCAAGCCTCTTATTCTGACAACTCGGTGTAGACTTGGTCCTGGTGTTTTTTGTTGGGAGAGGTAAGCATTTTGAAGAATCTGGCCAGCAGTGCCATGCTCTCCAGTAGTGCAGTGCCGTGTAAAGCCCATTGGCTTTGGAATGAGATGGACCTGGGCCCTAACATTAGGTCTTGTACGTATTGGTTATTTAGACTTTGGAAGATTGTACTTAATCTCTCGGAGTGAATTTTGTCATGTGTTAGATGAGGATGATCACAATCATCCTCATGAGAAAAGCATTAATGTTCGTCTACTATGTAAAATCCTTGGTCATATAATAGGTGTTTAATAAAAGTTAGCTAGTTATGCTGTCCAAATCTAATAAACCAGGGAGATTCTAGAAGATTTATTAAGAGACCAAAAATTAAAAAAAAATTTAAGTGATACATCAAAGAATAAAGTAATAAGTGATTGAAACAAAAATTTTAGCTAACCGGTAATTTTATATGGCAGCTATGTAGAGAGAATAGTGAAAGAAAGGATGAGGAATTAAGCATATGGCCAATTTGCTTTGTATTACATGTGACTTTATATTCCTCACCCAAATTTTCTCATTTAGTTTTTTAGGGAGTGGAAGGGAGGGGGAGAGAGAGAGCAGGGGTAGAGGAGAGAAAGAAACACCGATTGGTTGCTTCCCACACACACGCCTCTACTGGGGCCAAGCTTGGCGCCTGCAACTGAGGTACATGCCCTTGACCCTTCAGTCCGAAAGCCCTAACCACCAAGCCAAACCAGCTAGGGCGATGCAGCAGTATTTTATTTCTCATCTTTCTTCCAAAGAATTGAGTCACTTCTCCCACCATTGACTTTGTATGGAAGGAATAAAAGTAATTATTATATTCACAGATATTGGGTGCATGAATAACAGGATAATAAAAGGATATTGAAAATTAGTTATTGGTAGATTACAGTTGTTTCTGAGGATGACAGGGAACTAACGATATGAAAATTCAGTCATGTTTGCCTTCAGGTGCCTTGAACTTAAATTTGAATGAGAACACCTGCTAATGAGCTTGATGCAATGAGCCATGTGATTAACGAGTCATTCTCTAAGGTCACTCACTTTCTAACTCTTAGGTCAGTGTTAGAGCCTGTCATCAACACAGACACTTTCTCTTTAAAAAATAATCAAGAGTAAGAACCATGCCATTGCACTCATGTGGGGTATGAAGCTGAGACTCAGGCACAGACAGCAGGAGGGCGATCACCACAGGGAGGGGGTGGGAGGGTCCTGGGGGTAAAAGGGGCCAAGTCCATGGTGACTGGCGATGGTTTGATTTTGGGTGGTGGGCACACAGGCAATATACAGACCATGTATCATAAGAAAGTACCCCTGAAGCGTATGTGATCCTATTAACCAGTGTCCCCCAATAAGTTAATAAAAAGTAAAAGAATAAATAATTTGGGTAGTTTTCATACAGTTTACCAATTGACAAAGGAAATGGAAAAGGCGTAGGAGACAGTGGATATGGTTTGAATCCAGCAGCTTCAGCACTTCACTTGGAAGGAGAATTTGAAGCCTCAGGTGATTGGAGAGTCTCTCCATGTCCCCAGGGGCCTAGTTTAGTTCAGTTTCTGAGATGGCCCCGGAGGAAGTTGGGTTTGGTTGTTTGAGGTGGAGCATCATCATAAAACATCTCTGCGACGTACTGCACCACAGGATCCTGTCTCTTTTAATATGCAACACTAGCTAACCTGAATTTAGAATTCCTTGGATTTCTTTCTTTGAGTTAACTCTTTTATTCTGAACTCTTTAACTATGAAACTGATGTTTTCAGAAATACTCATTGCAATAATTGGGAACACGCTCACAGGTAACACCTGTGTGATTATACATCCATCAAACTCTAAGAGTAGTTTTTCATGTTTTAGTGACTGCTGTGGTCTTGAGAAAGCTTTTAGTTAGCAAGTGTTATTCCTAGTACTGCCTCAGAAGTAGGATTGAGTCAGTTACCCTGCACCTCATAAATGCCTTCAGTGTAGTGGTCAGTAAATATTTGAATGAATTGGTTGGTGTGTCAAAACAGAACTCTTTCATCAGTCATAACTCAAGTAGAAATAGAGGCAATGAGAGAATGAAAAGGATTAGGAAAATTCTCTTTTCAAAATGGAAAAGCAGAAAATATACTTTATATTTCAAGTCTTAAGGGCCATTAGGATGAAAATTGCGATGAAAATAAAATATATTGGGAGCTAATCTTGGTTTGGTCATAGTTAACATCTCCAGGCCACTGTCTAGCTGAATTCATTATCTGTATTACTTGACGTTGCTCAGTTCTTCCATGATTTGTTCAGTTATGTTTAGCTATATTTCTTATGCAGGAGGATAGCTTACACTTATTTAGCTTACTTCACCCAGGAAGCAGCTGTTAGTTTTAAAATACAATCAAAGCTTAGAGTATGCTATTCTTTTGGTGGTTTAATTTTATGTTAAATTTAAACTGTAACTCCTGCTCATGCTTTGTCTATGCAGAGTACCCTCCGAACCCCACATCTAGAGCTCCCAGGATGCTGGTCATTAAGAAAGGCACTGCCAAGGACTTGCAGCTGTCCGGGTTCCCCGCCGGAGGGGCTCCCCCGTCGCAGCCAGTGAAGAACGGGACTGGCCCCAGTGTTTATAAAGGCCTGGTCCCTAAGCCTGCTGCTCCGCCCACAAAAGTAAGCTCCACACGGTGACCATGACAAGTTTCAGTTGATGTCAGTGGAATTATTTTGGGAAAATAGTGTTAGAAAATCTACACCGAATTATTGGATTGTTTTGTTGGGAACTGACTTGTGTGTCACTAATTTTAATTCTTTAAATGGCGTGTGTTTGTCATGTGTGTGTTTTCTTGTTTTAGTAGTAAATGAAATCTGTAAAACTTGTTTTGCTAGATGCATCTATGACAGTGATGACGAACCTTTTGAGCTCGGCATGTCAGCATTTTGAAAAACCCTAACTTAACTCTGGTGCTGTGTCACATATAGAAATTTTTTGATATTTGCAACCATAGTAAGACAGAGACTTATATTTTTGATATTTATTTTATATATTTAAATGCCATTTAACAAAAGAGATTTGTAATAGGCCTTCCCTTCTCCTGGCTGCCGGCACCGGTTTTCCTCTGGCACCCGGGACCCAGGCCTTCGCTCCGGCCGGAGCCGCCTTCCGTCTTCCATCTTTGTGGCTCCGGCTCGCCTTCAGTCTTTGCTCTGCCACTTGGAGCCTATGTATGCAAATTAACCGCCATCTTTGTTGGCGGTTAATTTGCATATCACACCGATTAGCCAGTGGGAGGCGTAGCGAAGGTACGGTCAATTACCTTGTTTGCCTATTATTATATAGGATATTTAAATGCCATTTAACAAAGAAAAATCAACCAAAAAAATGAGTTCGTGTGTCACCTCTGACACGCGTGTCATAGGTTCACTATCACTGATCTATGATATATTTGCTTAATAATATATAATGCTGTTTTCTTGGTGTACTGTCTTAGGTTTTTGAAACTCCCACTAGTGGTTTCTTGACAATAGGTAAAAGAAATCTCATTTTAGGTTTATAAAACTGAAAAAAATTGCAATGTCGTTAGATGTTTTTATTTGAATACCACACTTTGATTTTATTTATAGAAAAAGATGCAAGAGAATCATGTGGTAATGATTACGACCTAATACAAAGATATTTGCTTTATGAGCCTCATGTAGTCACCTTTATTTTATATTGTTCGCTTTTTCTCTCTTCTGTGTAATCTTTATTTTTATATATATTAATGTTCGTGTGTTTTTCTTTAGCCTACACAATGGAAAAGCCAAACTAAAGAAAATAAAGTTGGGACTTCTTTCTCTCATGAGTCTACATATGGTGTTGGCAACTTCAATGCTTTTAAATCAACAGCCAAGAATTTTAGTCCATCAACAACGACAGGGAAAGAGGTATGACATTTGCAATTATTTCTGAGGAATGTAACGTAATCACGAGTTTCATTAACAGAAATACCCACAAGTTCTTTTACAAAACTTTATTGAGAGATTTCTCCTCTACTTGCTGACACTTTTTGAACATTAAGTAGGAATGAGTTTTAATGAAAATTTTCAAAAACCCAAAATGTAGACAAAATAATACCCATATACCCAGCAACCAGAAAGACTAATTAAGAATTAGGAAAATGACAGTTTAGACATTTTTGATAAAGTTATGCTATGCATATGATATCTGAACCTTCACGGAAATCGAGGATTTGTATGATACCATCTTTAGGGGCTGATGGAAGCTTTATTAGTGCTAACACTTAGGGGACAGAGGGAGGGTGAGGGGAAAATGCACATTATTGCACTGGCGTGAGATGCCTGCTAAGCTAAGTATTTCTGTGTCATTTGACCAGGTTCTGAAACTTCAATACCAGGGAGTTTTCTGACCAGTTTAGGGTCAGAAGACACTTGTGACTGTCCTTAGACTTGAAATGGCTCTGGGCGCTGGGTGGGAGCACTCCTCACGCACTGGTTCTCCATCGTAGACCTTCAGAGCTTCGGTGGAAGGACCAGCGTGTCAGCTGGTTGGTTGTGGCTGAGATTCATTACAGTCTTACAGACCTTTTGCCAACAGTTAAGCGTTACGGTTTATTTCCGTGGTGAAGAATCTGATACAGAGTTCTAGCATTCTGTTTTCTACGGTAACCCACTGTCAAAACAAAACACTGAAGGAAAAAGGGTGTCAGTACATGATTCTTCTCCTCTTCCCCCTGCTCATCCAAATTTCCCCTGGTGAAATCCTACCCGATAGAACCCTGTGTGTGCCTGCATGTAAATACATGCAAATAGATCTTATTGGAGCTGTTATTAGACCTTGAAGCTTAGCACTGTGGGAGATAGCATAAAACCCTGCTTTTCTATGTATTGTAGAAACGCTTTAAACAATTTCAGGGTTTTTAAATTTTAATTTAAAAAAATATATTTTATTGATTTTTTTACAGAGAGGAAGGGAGGGGGACAGAGAGTTAGAAACATCGATGAGAGAGAAAAATAGTATTTAAACTCCTAACTTCGAGTCATAGTTCTTTGTGTTATCAGACCTTAATTGTTTCTGGAATAAGAAAATTTTTCCTTTTTTTTTTTTGAGAAAATTCTTTTGTTTACTCATCTAATGGGGTAACTAAAACATGGGGATAGAGGAAAGCCTTTGACATAAACCTTAGCATCAGTTTTGTATTGTGGATGAAGGTGAAAGAGGAAGTTGTGGTTGTTTTGAACTTTACATTGACATTAGTTCTCTGTCTACATATTTATCAATATTTCTGAATTTTTTTCTTAGTGTAATCGCTCCAATTCCTCTTCACCCGTTGACAAACTTAATCAGCAGCCTCGTCTAACCAAGCTGACACGAATGCGCACTGATAAGAAGAGCGAGTTTCTGAAAGCGCTGAAACGGGACCGAGTGGAGGAGGAGCATGAGGATGAAAGCCATGCTGGCTCCGAGAAGGTGACTCTTGGTTTGAATAATGGGTCGTTGAAATATCTGGGCAAATACCAGTGAGGACCCTTGCATCGACTTCAATGACTTTTTTTTCTAAAGTACATTTCTCTCATCTGAACTTCCTGTGCAAAAATAAAATTGAAAAATTCCTGTTCAAATATGTCTTTTTGTTTTCCCCACGTTGCCTACTTTCATCCTTTGGGCTTTTGCCTTTGTTGAAAAATGTAAATATTAGTTAATAAGCTGTGTGTATCCATCATAGCTTAGTTTGTGTGTGTGTGTGTGTGTTTTAAATATTTACATATTTACATATTTTAATTGATATAAGGGAGAGGGAGAGGGAGAGAGAAAAATCAGTGATAAGAGAATCATCATCGCTGCCTCTGGCCTACCCCTTCCTGGGGATTGAGCTGCAACCAGGGCATGTGCCCTGACCAGGAATTGAACCAGCAACCTCTTGGTTTCTGGGTCGATGCTCAACCACTGAGCCTTACTGGCCAGGCCATCAGATTTTATCTTAATGAGAATGTCTTCTAAATTTAATGATTATAAGTATTGCATTTATATATTATCAATGTAAGAGAACTGGGACCTATTAAAGTTTTTAACAACAGTTTCTCTAACCCATTCTTTTTTAACTCCCTAAAAATCAGGATGAAGACTCATTTAATTTGCATAACAGCAATAGTACTCACCAAGACAGAGATATAAACCGGAACTTTGATGAAAACGAAATTCCACAGGAGAATGGCAATGCCTCGGTCATCTCCCCGCAGATCATCCGGTCCTCAACCTTCCCACAGACGGATGTTCTTTCAAGTTCCCTTGAGGCAGAACACAGGTTGGTATTTATTTTTACTTCTCTGTATTTTTTATATTCAGGATTTTGCTATTATAGAAATGCTGTGATTCATTTTTTAACAGTCTTATTGAGATATAATTTATATGCCAGACATTTCACACATTTTAAAAGTACAGTTCACTGATTTTTTTAGTCTGTTCGAAGTTGTGCAGTTGTCGTCAGAATCTAGTTTTAGACAATTTCCATTGCACCCAGAGGAAACCCCGAGCTCATCTGCAGTAGTCGCTCCTCCTTTTCTCTGTTGTAGGCAGCCCAGTCCACTTCCTATATCTGTAGACCTGCCTTTTCAGCGTATTTCATATAAGTGGGATCCTAAAACCTTGTCCTTTATGTCTGGCTTCTTTCTCTCAGCATGTTTCTAGGCCCACAGACACGACAGCACCTGTCACTTCTTTGCTCCTCTTGTTGCCTCCACTACCCTGTGCGGCTCTACTGTTCATGGGCTGATGGGATTGGGCTGTTGGTACTTGTGCGTTTTGTGAATCATGCTGCTGTGAGCATCCCTGTGCACAGTTCTGTATGAGCTTGTGTTTATTTCTTTTGGGTAGACGCCTAGGAGTGGAATTGCTGGGACTGTGCTTACATTTTGAGAAACTGCCAAACTCTTTCCACGCGTTCGAATGCACACTTGACATTCTCATCAGCATCATGGGAAGATGCCAGTTTCTCCAGGATCTCAGGGACACTTGAGACCGTCTATCTTTTTGATCATAGCCATTCTAATGGATATGAAGTGATCATCTTGTGTGTGTGTGTGTGTGTGTGTGTGTGTGTGTGTGTGTGTACACACATATTTCAGAGAGGAGGAGGGGGAAGAGAGAAACATCACTGATGAGAGAGAATCATTCAGTTCCCAGGCCAGTGCTCTGTCCACTGAGCCATACTGGCTAGGGCTCTTTGGTGTTTTTTAATGTGCATTGCATAATGACTAACAGCGTTGAGCGTTTTTTTATGTGTACTTATTAGCCATTTGTATATCTTCATGGGAGAAATATTTGTTGAAATTCTTTATCCATTGTTAAATTGCATTATTTGTCTTATGGGTGTAAGAGTTATTTATATATTTTGGATATAAGTTTCTTATATGTACTAGTATAACTAGAGCCCCGATGCATGAAATTCGTGCAAGAGTGGGCCTTCCTTCCCCCGGCTGCCGGCTCCGGCTTCCCTTGGAGCCCCTGCTTCATCTGGAAGGACGTCAGGTCTTATTACGGTAGTATGCTACGCTTTTATTATTATAGATTTACAGATTTTTTTCTACTCTGATTTGTCTTTTCAGTTTCTAAATGGTGCATTTTTAAATATAAAAACATAATTTTCATGAAGTCACTTTCTAATTTTTTTTTTTTTATTGCTTGTGCATGTCTTGTCTGTGTTGTGAAGTGGGGTTCTCGATTCATCCTTTCCCATGTGGAGATTCATTCATTGTCCTAAGATCTGATTTATTTTTTATTGTAAACGTCCAAGAGCACTCTCTGCTTTTATCATTATCGTCTTAAGCATCTTCTAAACAGTGACCTCGTCAGTGATGAGTCTCAGGATTGAGGTGTGTTCAGTCTAGAGTAGACTGTGGTGGTTTCCCCTGTGGCTTATAAGTAAGAGCAGGTATTTGGCAGAAGTGGCTCACCCTTCCTATGGTCTTGGAATAAACCAACGACTCGGCATCACTGCAGGAAGGAGTTGAGGCTCTTGGCTTTACTTGTGCATTTGTTATGAATTAAGCAAACTTTCGTTGAAGCTTAAATTTTATTAGATTGGTACAGAAATACACACCACCATGAAGGGAGAAATTATGGCACCAAACTCTCCACCTCTGTTGTACTTAGGATTGATCAGATTCCTATTCATTCTACAGTTTTCATTTTTAAAGACTTTGTTCCAGACATATGTGTGCACTTTTTCAACACTAGATAGGATTCTTAAGTATTTTGGCCTCAATTCCTTTTTAATAACTGAAGCATTATAACTGCTAAAGCAGTGGTTCCCAAACTTATTTGGCCTACCGCCCCCTTTCCAGAAAAAATATTACTCAGCCCCTGGAAATTAATTTTTTTTTAAATGTTAATAGCAGTTACTCATCGCCCCCAAATGCACCTGTGGCCATCACCGCCCCCCTGGATCGCTGCAGCGCCCACCGGGGGGCGGTAGCGCCCACTTTTTTTAAATGTTAGCAGTTACTCATCGCCCCCAAATGCACCTGTGGCCATCACCGCCCCCCTGGATCGCTGCAGCGCCCACCGGGGGGCGGTAGCGCCCACTTTGGGAATCACTGGCAATGAAAAGATAATTTATGCACTTACATTTTCTGTTTATGTAACTATAATTGCTTTGTATAAACTGAATTGTTTTTCCAGTGAAAATTCTTACATCCTCTGGGACCAGGCTCAGTGTAAGGTGATACTCGTTAAAGCCCAATTGACTTGACTTTTTTTGGTTTGATGCCAGTTCGCCTTGATTGAATTCCAGGGCAGTAGGGAACTGGGCTATACCTACTGTAGGATAACTTTTAAAAATTTATTTTTTAATTTCAACGAAACCTAAGCTCCATGAGGATAGAAACTTTGTCCATTTTGCTCAGTACTGTGTCTTGCACCTGGCACTCACTGTGTGCGTAGCTTCGCTACATGAATGAGCGCACAGCAGGGCCAGGGTTTCTGCCTGCGCTGTGCACTGTGCTGAAGGGTGAGACATGGGCACGGCAAGGGTGCGGTTCTCATGGGAGAAGGGTGTGTGGGTGAGTGCGGACCTCGCTTGTTTCAGGGCTGTGGATGGAATAGCTTGACAAGAGGACGGAGTCCTTTATGGGATTAGAGATGACTTTTAACATAGATATCTAATTGTGGGCGGACACAAGGTTATTACTATTTTTTGTTTGTTCGTTCTTTCAAAATCATTTGTTTTGAAAGCTACTCCAGAAATAGTTATCAATTACAGTCTGTGGGAATACGGGCACAGAGGAGAAAATGGGCAGTTAGGAATCTGGACTTTTGTGACATGGAAATAATTTGTTCCATCTGCATTGTTCAGGTTCTAACAGGGAAACAAGTGAACGTGGAGATCTAGGAAAAGCAGTGAGAGTGTCTGATCTACAGACTCTGGACTGGGTGGCATCGGGATGGAGGAGAGGGTAAAGGTGAAGACAGTGCATTGGAAGGAGATGTTAGTGGTGAAAAGGAACAGAGAACTAGCAATTAGTTAGTTATGACTGTGACCTTTTGGTCCAGAGGCCATATATAGTAACTGAGGAGGCAAAACACCAGATCTCTGTTTCCTTCTCTGCTATCAAGTAGACAAGATGTTTGATTTTTATGTAATCTTAATTCTTTATCTGTAAAACACAGGTCTCGTGTTCAATTTTATTTAGAATCTGACACCGATATTCTATGAGGTTGTTTAAAAAGGCATACAAGTCTACAGCTTTAGCTAATTTGTTGCAGGCTCCAGTTGAGAGATGATAAGTGTAATTAGGAGTAACAGACACTTAAGACATAGAATGAATTTCTTACAAAGTACAGTCAGATCCGTGTAAAACATGTCCATCTGGGAAAAGAAACACTGAAGTCCCCGAGCCAGGTGCACGGCTCTGGCGGCGTGTCCGCGTTTGCCAGCTAGAGGGGGGGTGGGGTCATGCTGGTCTTTTCTCGCCCGACGCGCCTAAGATGAAGGCCTTCTCTTTAAAAACTGGAAGGAAAAGAGAAGAACCACTTTAGTCATTGTGCTCAGATCCTGGAGGGGAGCTTCTAGGACAGACAGCCCTCTTCCTGTTGTTACAGAGCCTCATGCCGTTTCACGGTGGTTAGGTGCCGAGGAGGAGGACTGGCACGCACAAGGGGTGCTATCAGTGGGCAAATAAACTATAAAGTGCAAATCAGGGCGAGATAGCCCAGTCTTCTTTGTGAAGTAGCAAACCTAGTGATGAGCTAGAATAGAATGAATTGTGGTGGTGGTAGAGCAAATGGGTACGTAATGCTTTTACTTTTGGTACACGAATTTACCAGATTGGAAGTTTCTAGACTGGAGTGCCTTTTGCAAATTTCCAGCCTCTGACCCAGAAATCAAGCAGTTCATTCTGGTCTTATTGTCTAAGGTGTTTTATTGGGCTTCATCGCATCTGTTTATTCACGTTCAGGAAGACATCCGAAGCATAAACTCAGGCCCTTTTTTAATGCACTAGTATTTTGAGGACTTTGTATAATGGTGAATGTTTTTTTGCCACGTGACATAAATGGAATTATCCTACTTGGGTGCAGTTCTAAATTTATTAATTTCCTCCCTTTTTTCAGATTGTTGAAGGAGATGGGCTGGCAAGAAGACAGTGAAAACGATGAAACGTGTGCTCCCTTAACTGAGGATGAAATGAGAGAATTCCAAGTTATTAGTGAACAGGTAGGAAGACCTGAATCAGACAAGTTCACTTCCAATTGCCTTTTCTTAATCAAAACAATGGATTTTAAAAAATATTTTTGGAGGGTGGGGGGTGTGTGTCACACAGTTTTCTTCAGGAATTTATTGGGTATCACATTATGGGTCATCAGTATAAATACTCACAGAGCCATGTCTTTGTCATCAGATCAGAAGAACAGAGATATTACATTCCATTGCTCTCCAACCCAGTGGGCACAACATTTTTATCAGTTAATTATTTTGTTATCAATAGGATTGTATCTGCCCATCCTGGTCATCACAAGATTTCACAACCAATTATCTTGGTCAGGCAATATTATACAATCCTTGAAACTACTGCCTTATGCTGTCGGTGCCTGGTGAATTTCTCATCATGCCTTTCTTCAAATTCAAAGCAAAGCCTTCCAGCAGATGCACCGAGTGGTAAATGCAGCCAGTGGGCTACTGCTCACCAAGCAGCAATAGGCCTCGGTGTGTGGAAGGCTGCACCATTCAGGTGTGTGCAGTACACGCTGATGTTTACACAACAATGACATCACCTCATGGGGCCTTTTGGAGAGCATCCTGCCACGGATGCGTGACTGAATATAGCTGTATAGCTACCACCCCAAAGTCTCTCATCATCCCCCTTGTCTTCAGTTCTCTCCCTCTGGAAGGTGATACTGTAAACATTCCAGAGTGACTTACTACATAGCTGATGTGGTCTATAAAAGGTGTGCTTAGAGATTTTGATGAAAATTACCAGTGTCAAACGTTTTTATGAAAGAAAGGGAAAAGACTGAAGTTAATAGAATGTACATTATTATTGTTGTTCGTTATTACTGTTTTTGTTATTAATTTAACTTTGTATCTTTAAAAAGTTTCTAATCTGGGACAACCCCTTCCCAAGCCCCATAGGTGACCTAATTAGCTCTAATTTCTCATTTTCAGAAATAGAAACTAAGTTTTTCGAGTTTCTTAATCTCTGTGGTTAAGCAAGGGGCGGGCTCTATTTTATTCCTTATTCTTGTGTGCCTTCCTTTTTGTGTGCCTCCTATTGAATACCGCATACCCGAATCGTCTGTACTCTTTCTGTTCCACAAAGTGAGCGAGGCAGGCGGGGGCGTGCTCGCAGCCAGGTGGTCAGGGCAGTACAGCAGCCTCTGGAGCCGAGGGGCTGCTGGCTCCACACGGGCAGCATCGGCGCCGGTTAGTCCCCTCTCCTCGGTGGTGTGGTCGACGGTGAGCGCCGTGCTCCCAAAGCAGGGGTTCATTCCTAGGAGATGTTTTGTTAGACCAGTTGGATCAGTCACTTTGCTGTATTAAACTAGTTTTCCAGAAACGATGTCGTCATCTGTGGACTTCAGTTTTAACTTTATTGTATTCATGGTTACATTTAATTATTACTCTATTCTTTTAAAAAATATATATTTTTATTGATTTCAGAGAGGAAGGGAGAGGGAGAGAGAGATAGAAACATCAGTGATGAGAGAGAGTCATGGATCGGCTGCTTCCTGCACGCCCCCTACTGGGGATTGAGCCTGCAACCCGGGTAGGTGCCTTGACCGAAATTGAACCCGGGACCTTTCAGTCCGCAGGCCAGTGCTCTATCCACTGAGCCAAACCAGCCAGGGCTTTCACACAGTTCTTAACTTGATAGTAACTCCTGGAGCACAGTTTATTTAATTTGTTATTTTTGGCATTTTAGTTGCAGAAGAATGGTCTGAGGAAAAATGGTATTTTGAAAAATGGCCTGATCTGTGACTTCAAGTTTGGACCCTGGAAAAGCAGCACTTTCCACCCCACGATTGAGAACGACGACACGGAGACGAGCAGCAGCGACACGTCCGACGACGACGACGTGTGAGGCCCCAGCACCTCCGAGGCTCGTGTGGCCGTCCCCGTGCGGCGGGTGGAGTGCCAAGGGAAGAACTAGAATTTACGTAGTAAACGCCCGTTAGAGGAGTTTTTGGGGGACTTCGGTATGAAGAAAACCAAGAATGTTGTGTTGGGCTGTGTTGAACATTCTTTCTTTGTACATGGATGTTGTAGAAATGAGGCCTGTGGTGGACCAGCGTGGACTCGGCATCACCACAGCATTTCTCTGACTAGCAATGTGACGATGTAACAGATGAGATGTTCTCATTTAATAATAAAAATTGTGTAATGTTTTGCAAAGCTTCTGTCTTAAAATGTCCGGGTCTTAAGAAAAAAGGCAGCTTACACTGTTTGCTTGCAGAGCCTCTCTTCGTACAATGGAAATCCTCAACCCACTTTGTGCGCCCCGCCCCAAAAGACAATGTAGCATGTCGGCTAAACTGGAGCAAAGTGCACTCAGACATTCACTCCCGAGCTCCGCTGTCGTACTGTCACCTTCTAAAGCATACGCTGCTCTTAGCCATGTGTAGTTCCGTAACTTACAGGAAAGACTCGCCACACTTTCTTCCAAATTTTAAGACGTGGTTTTCAAGAGCTTTATTTGGGGATGTTGTCAGACCAGGATTTTCAGAGTTGATGGAAAGAGTTGTTGTGGGAAAACTTATTTTGATAAATTATTACATGAGCAGAAAAACTGATCACTGACTGGATCTGTCCCCAACATGGAAATAAACTGGATTTTCAGAACCTTGTCGTGCTCTGTAGTGTCCCGGGTTGGTCTCCACTCAGCGCTCTGCTCGTCCTGCAGCTGCTTCGTTCAAGGCGGCGGCCGTTTTCCGAGTTTAGGGCAAGAGGTTGGGAAACAGCCTTTCTTATCAGCGGCTTCACGCGTCTAATGCCTGTGACCACTGTGTTTTCATCGGCACATCGATTTCAGAGTCATTTCTGTTCCCCTGCTGGCTGGGAGAGGATGTTTGTATCTTGATTTTCTCTCTCGTTTGCTCACATTTCTGTGTTCGCCTCCCTCCCCTCGCTCATGCATGAGTGTATCCTCACCGTAAGGGGCGCCGTCTTCCAGCAAAAACGCTCCCGGTTTCATGTCAGATCGAGCTCACCCTCAGTCTTCCTTTTTTGAAATTGCGTTTTCAGAAGACTCTGTGTTCCTGCTGTTTCCACCTCAGTATCCTGCCTAGATAACCAGTCCATGTGTCTCTCCGACATCGATGTTTTCTCTCTGTCTCTCTCCCTTTCCACTCGCTCGAATACGTATATCTCCTGCCTAGATCCTCAGTTTTTACCAGAAGCCAGATTATTTGTCACGCTGAGTGGTGGTGATGAGGGTGTTAAAACAACACGGTTTCATCCCACAGAACTTGGGAGGATGAGTTACTAAGTATTAAAGTCATCGGAGTTCTCTTTTCGGAATAGGCCCGTGTGTCACACGTGCCACCGCCAGCCCATCCCCCGCACAGTGCTGGCCGCTTGGCCCCGTGGCTGCTGCGGCTCCATCAGCCTCAGGCGGCATCGAGTGTCTTCGCTCGGCTCGCACTTTTGGGTTAGTGGGTTAATGAAACCTCCCAGACGCAAACGGTATTTGCTAACACAAAAGGGACCCGAGAACCGTGGCTTCCATTTAACGTGTACCTATTGTGTTTTCTAAATGGCTTTCAGAGATTTTGTCACTTTTTGTTTCTGGCACGATGCCTTAAATTCAGGGCTTTTTGCCCTAATCCCCTCTCAGCAGTTCGCAGGTGCTGAGCGTGGTGCCGGGCTGTGGCCAGGCGTTCACAGGTGCGGGTCAGCACGGGGCCCGGCCATGTCCGCCTTAAAGGCCCACGCAAGGTCCCGTTCCCGCGGGCGGGAGGGCAGGGTGGCAGAGCCACGAGTCTCAGGCCGTCTCAGGAGTGGGCGGCAGGGTCTGGACCGGGTTCGAGAGGAGGATGGCCACGAGCACGGGAACCTCGTGTGGAAACGCTGACCTCCGGCCACGGAGGCCTGAGGGGCCATTTACTTTAAATTCAGCTTTTTGCGGCAAGTATTTGTAAAATACCACTTTATCAAGGTATAAACGAACATAAATACACATTGAAGGCATGTAGCTTGGCAAGTGTTGACCTGTGAAACACGGCCACCAGGTAGTGAACGTGTCTCACCCCAAAGGTGTCTGGTGTGGCCCCCCATCCTTCCCTCTTACAATACCTCCCCTCCCCCCAGTGTTTATTGGGGAGCATGGAATGTGTGAGTAAGACAGGAATGGGTTTAAAGTAGCATTTCAAAAATTGTATTTTATGTTTATTAATAGGGTAATTTTTAAAAAAAATATATTTTATTCATTTTTCATAGGAAGGGAGAGGGACAGAGAGTCAGAAACATCGATGAGAGGGAAACATCAATCAGCTGCCTCCTGCACACCCCCCACCGGCGATATGCCCACAACCAAGGCACATGCCCCTGACCGAATCGAACCTGGGACCCTTCAGTCCGCAGGCCGACGCTCCATCCACTGAGCCAAACCGGTTAGGGCAAATAGGATAATTTTTATTTTCAAAAATATTTCTGTTAAAGTTGAAACAAATGTAGAAGTGTTACCAATAGTCAGGTTGGTTGGATGGCGTCAGACTTCTAGAAGAGTTAGAATTCAGGGTGTTGACGGGCCTGGACCCTAACAAGTTCGGGGAGCACCTGTGACGGTGTTTGTGTTATTGGTCTTGGGACCCGTGCTCGTCTGAACAGTGTGAAGGGCTGAGGGCATGTCCCGAACCACTTGCTTTGACCTGCTCACAGGCTTCAGAAAGGCCTTGATCAGAATGCACTCGCGGCAGAGTTTAGACCCCTGGCTTAGAAGAGGCACACGCGTGCCAGCCGGTGGGCTCAGTGGCTAGAGCGTGGGCTCCCGGGTTTGATTCCCGGCCAGGGCACAGGCCCTTGTTGCTGGCTGGATCCCCAGTAGAGGGTGTGCAGGAGGCAGCCCGCGCTCTCCCCTGTGCCTGTGGCCTCCTGCCTGGGCCCGGGTGCTAATTGACGGGGAGGCCTCGGAGTGCCTGGCTCTGATGCCTGTGGCCACGGAAGCAAACCCAGCTCGGCCTGTACGTGCCTCGAGCTTAGGAAAGCAAACCCTGAGGACGCCCGGCCACAGGCAGCCTCTGGGGCTGGGCTCAGCAATGGCTCCATGTCCACAGACCCCGGTCACTCCTGGTTCGGTGGCCACGGAAAGGGGTCGCCCCCCCCCCCCCCACTGTCAGGAGGGTCACTGTGCAGATCCCCAGCAGGCGTCTCCAGGTGCCTGTTGTGACCTCACTCCTGCCTCGATTCCAGAGTTCAAGTGGGAGCTGCAGATGCCAAGGCTCACGTTCTAGAGAGACAAGGGGGGTCTGACGGGACTTGGTGGCTGCCTGACCCAAGGGAGAAACGGACCCCAGAGTGCCCGGGGCTGGCAGGGAGGGTGGGCGCCCCTCCCCCCCACCCCACCCCATCCCCACCCCCAGGAGAGGCCTCCTCGCCGTCTGTGCCAGGAGACCTGACTTCTTGAACCCTATCTCCCGGCCGATTCTGGACCCTTTACCCGTGCTCAGCGGCTCTCACCCCTGACAGTGCAGTGGGGCCCAGGCCTGTCTCTGAACTCCGCTCCCCGGAGTCTCGGGTCGGGTCGCTGGCGGCTTCGCTCAGGTGGAGGATCACCTGGTCCTGGGCAGGGAGGTGGGCCAGACCCTGCGGAGCGGCTGGCGGTGCCTGGGCTCTGGTCTGGGTCCTCCTCTCGCCTCCTGACGCGGATCGAGCTCTGCCCCAGGCACTTGTCCTGTCCCTGAGCTCAGGGTGCCGCCCCTCCCCTGCCGCCGCCATAGCCAGGCCCGCCACTAAGGGGTTTTTTTGATTATTTTAATGAAAGAAAGTGAACACTAGGGGGCAGCAAGCCACCGTCCAAGGGCCTGCAGACACCTGTAGGCACAGGGCGTTGCTCAGCAGGACCTAGGAGGCTCCTTCTGGGACGGGCAGCGTCTCCCACGTGTCGCTGGGCCGGGCCTCCCCTCCCGGGAAGAGTGGGCGGCCACACCCCAGGCCCCACCCAGCCTCCTGGTCTTCCTCCCGAACAGGTAACTGAGGAGTTGGATTCCTGCATCTTTTGAGAGATCTGACTTTTATTTATTTTATTTTTTGTGCACCCTCACCCATTGATGTCTAGAGAGAGTGGAAGGGAGGGCCACAGAGAGAAACATCGATGTGAGCGAGACACGTCGATTGGTTGCCTCCTGCACACGCCCCAACCAGGGCCGGGGTACCTGCAACCAAAGTACAGGCCTTTGACTGGAATCGAACCTGGGACCCTTCAGTCCAAGGGCCGGCGCTCTATTCCCTGAGCCACATGGGCCAGGGCGGATGCCTCATCCTGAGGCCCCCCCTCCCGGTCCCTCGGTTCACAGGGTCAGCTGAGGCCCCCACAGGGGAAGGGCCCGGAGCCGGAGCCAGGTGTGTCCACGGACGCCCGAGGCCCCGGCCCCGAGGGACAGTGTGAGGCTGCGGGAAAGCTGTGCTGTGCTGGAGATTTCACCCCAAATCCCGGGCCCCTGTCCTCTGCGACCCAGGAACACGCCTCAGCTAGAACCGTCCGAGGCCGCCACGCTGCCAGCGGGCTGCGTCTGTCCACATGCGAGTGGCGC